CGTTCCCCGCGGTACGTACGATCGTTGCCACGAGCCAGCGATCGTTGCCATGCAGGGAGCGCCCCGTCGTCAGAAACGCAGATAGTTTACGATTAACTCACTCGTAAAATACGTTGTTTAACTATGTTAGAAACTATGACATGAGTGTTAAATATTATGAGTCATGCACAATGTTTTATTTAAAAGGTTAAGACATGTAATACTTCGTAAGTGCTTGTGATGTTTCTGGCAACGGGCCCCGGTCGAACAATACACAATCTTGATGCAGGCCGTAACCATACTGACGATGGTTGTTTGGCGATTCGTGTGCGATTATAAATCCTCGGTATATGATATGGTGAGCGTGAGAACGTGCAATAACTCTACAAAAAAAACTATTAAGGTTAGGGTTGGGGTTGTGGTTGGGGTGCGCTAACAGTACACAGTCTAATAACTCTACGAAACAAGCCGTTTCTTTGCTTCCCATTTCGCGCATTCTAGGATCCTGTCATAAAGTTTCCGTTGTTTTCTTCTTCGCAGTCGTTTGAGTCAGAATGTGTGCCTGGCCGACCGGTGGAGGTAGAACCCAGCAGCACAGCGCCCCCTACCCGGCCTACCGTCACATCAGCCTCCTCTACACGGGCCAGTACGGCCACCGGAACAGGACCAGGAACAGGAACAGGAACAGTCGTGAAGGTGCCGTTGCCCACAGAACGTCCGCTCCTGAGCACAGGTGCGATTGCCTTTTTATTCGTACTTTTTTTTCAGTATGCATTATCGAGAGTGTGTAAACTCGTAGGGCGAACGACGGTAAGAGCTGAAAACCTTGTCTTAGCTTAGGTTTGGTAGAATTAAGTATCGATACGCACATAGTTTAAAGAATGTGTTACTTTATTAGTAATTAGCTATGCTTGCTTTGCTATTATATATATACTATATATAAGCTATGCTTGCTTTGCTATTATATATATACTATATAATTATAAGCTATGCTTGCTTTGCTATTATTACATCTCACAGTAACTATATAGCAGCATATAAACCATTATTACTTACGGTAGACTTACATCTCACAGTAACTATATATAGCAGCATATAAACCATTATTACTTACAATAGACTTACATCTCACAGTAACTATATAGCAGCATATAAACCATTATTACTTACAATAGACTTACATCTCACAGTAACTATATATAGCAGCATATAAACCATTATTACTTACGGTAGACTTGCACCTCACAGTTGGGTCCGTCCCGTCCCTTCTTGCAGCGGCAGTTCCATCGGTTGCTGCCAAGCTCCTGAGTGCACGTACCACCGTTACGATGGCACTCGTCACTACAGAGACCTGTACATGAAACATCAACAACAACTATGTCACCAACCGGCCACGGATACCTCCACGTTTATTTACACATAGTGTTGTAGATTTGCGCATCCTGAGTTTGGTAACGGTACTCTAAACGATGAGAATAGCATTCTGCTTAGAACAGCGCACATGTGAAAGATGTCGTAATAGAGAATTTAAACATAATAGTTATAATATCAGGAGTCTATCAATATTGATCTACTATCTATCTATTGATAGACTCCTGATAATATCCTTAGCATGTGAACCCTAGAGCGAACAGCCATAAAAACTGGAAACCATGTCTTTGTTATAGACTGTTGTGTCATTGGGGTACCAATCCAGGCTGTGAAATCTAAATATCGGTACACATTTACAAACTTCTAACCTGGCTCATGAGCAGGACAGGGACAAGCAGTTGCTCTTATTGAATCAAGCAAGCATAGCTTATATATAGTATATATATAGTCTACCGTAAGTAATAATGATGCATCATCGCTATATAGTTACGTTTACAGTGTACATTCATAAATACATGTATCACGTATGTATACATTAATAAGTGTTTAGTAAGTATATGCGGCCAGGTGGGTTAAAAAATGAAATTAAACATCATAATTAACAAAAATCAGACCAGTGACAGATTACGTGATTATAAAAGATTCACAACATACACGACTTCCCAAATTCAGAAGCCATTAGAACAATCATTTGCACTAATCAACGAGTAAACATGTGAGCATAATATATTGAACGAGAACCAATACACAAGGAACGCCTGCAATACAGACAAAGTGTCATGTATGTCCGTATTACTATATAGCATCGTATAAACCATTATTACTTACAATAGACTTACATCTCACAGTAACTATATATAGCAGCATATAAACCATTATTACTTACGGTAGACTTACATCTCACAGTAACTATATAGCAGCTAGCATATAAACCATTATTACTTACGGTAGACTTACATCTCACAGTAACTATATATAGCAGCATATAAACCATTATTACTTACAATAGACTTACATCTCACAGTAACTATATATAGCATCGTATAAACCATTATTACTTACAATAGACTTACATCTCACAGTAACTATATATAGCAGCATATAAACCATTATTACTTACAATAGACTTACACCTCACAGTAACTATATATAGCAGCATATAAACCATTATTACTTACGGTAGACTTGCACCTCACAGTAACTATATATAGCAGCATATAAACCATTATTACTTACGGTAGACTTGCACCTCACAGTAACTATATATAGCAGCATATAAACCGGTGAAACAATATGTATAGTGAGAGTTATATATCGCACGTAAGATACATCACACTCATATCTCACTGTTGCAGGTTGTGAGTTGGTGTGTGAGAATGGCGGGGTGTGCAGGGTACAGGAGGAGGAGGAACGCTGCGTGTGTCCTGCTGAATTCGGTGGTACCCTGTGTGACGAGGAGATCTCTACTGGATGTAAGTATCATAGCT